TTGGCACAGAGTAATCCCTATCAAGTACAGGTATTTTCATCCTTCCCTTGATATGAATAGTCCCTGCTCCAAGAGGACACTAGGTGGACTAGACACCTTCTACATGGCTCTGAGTCCATCATTCTGTCTTTTTTAACTACAAATGGAGACATCAATTTCAATCATTATTGCACCTGAAAGTTAACCAAATTTGCCATGACATTTTATTTACATTCTAGTCACTGTATGAAAATAAGATATGAGAGTCTAATTTTTTCTTATGAAGAATGAGATTCAGAAATCATGAGTAAGATGTAGAACTAATATCATCACCATGTAGCATTTGATCATGTAGGACTAAAAAGAATTGTTCTGAAAATGCCAGCAACTCTTCTACTGAAATTTTTAATTCAATTTAATATTGCAGATGTAGAGATTAGGAATATGACCCCATGAAAAAGGAAGAGAAAATATAGAAAAAAAGTGTCAGGGTTTTCAGATCAAATGCGATTTCAAAATATTCTATCTTTTCTGTTAAAAAAAAATAAAAATAGCTATATCAGTAAATTTTTCTAATATACTAATACTTCTGTTAATGCAGTCAATTGTATAGATCTGATCATAAACAGTTACACAAATTGGACATGTTACCCCACACCAGTCTTAGAAAAATACTCTCCCATATCACTGGTGTATGACTATTGTGTGAATGGAGGTGAGATACAATTTGAAGAGGAATTATATCTTTGAACAAATAGTAATACTACTAAATTAATTTATCATAAATATTTGGAGATTATTTTTGCAAGACTAGTATATTTTGACACATTTTATAATAATTTCTTAGAAGAAATAGCACAAGATAAGGAAGTTATCTTAAGTTATGGCAAGAGAGTTAATCAATGAATTAACCATTTAGGAGTGAAAGGATAACATGATTCATGACATATATGAGATTTCAGAACTAAAAAATACAGATATAGGGAAACAACTTTTGATGATGTCTTAAAGCTCAGTTAAAGGGGGTAAATTTAATTGTAAACCAGTTTCAGCCTAATTTGTGATGACCAAACTGGGATCCCTCAGAGATCACAGTGCTTCCCTAAACATGAAGGAAATGTATACGAAACTACAGCATAGCAACTGTTGATATGAACTGATTTTTCAGTGCTAAGCAATGTAATGATTCATAAAGCATATTTTTCTTCCTACCAACATAATCTCTTACTATGCTTATGTGTGTTACCCACCTGAGTTTACCATACTATTTTATAATTACTCTAATTATGTGCCATTTATATCCGTTAATTTTTTTTATTTTTGCTAGATCTTCATCCTGGAACTTTGATAATAACCATTAAAGACAATGATATTTCCTTAAATTTTCACTGCATGTATTTCCATATATACAAGTATCTTGTAGACATCTTCTTTTCCTTGTTAAATAATGCTAAGGTAAATTCAACAGACTTACATGTCAATGAAATTGCCAGAGATATAACTCATGACTGAAATGGAACAATTCTTTTCCTCAACAGTTCCAATTTCATTTTGTTATGCTACCTTTATTTAAATATTAATAACCAGTTGTACTCTTAAAATGTTCAGGACAACCAGCATATTTTCTTGCTTCTGTTTGCTGCTCAGGGAAAAATCGGGCCTTTTATTTCTTTCTTAGTGTTGAAGTTACTTCCTCAAATCTATCTGTTCCAACAGAGGGTAGATTTCAATTAGATATTAGGAAGAAATTCCTTTTTGTGAGAGTAGTAAGACACAGGAACAGGTAGCCCAGAGAATTTGTGGATACTCCATCCCAGGAAGTGTTCAAGACTGGGCTGGATAGGGCTGCTTTGAGCAACCTGGACTAGTGGAAGTTGTCTCTGCCTGTGGCAGGGGAATTGGAACTAGATGATTTTTAAGGTCCCTTCAACCCAAACAATTCCATGATTCTGTGATTCCATGATTATTTTTCAGAAAACAATAATAGAAAATCATGGAATATGGAAACAATCCCATAACTTCTTCCTTGCCAGAAATGGTTGAAGCCACGTGGGATTATGGGATTTGTTCTGTGTTTCTCTGCATCCCAGGGTAAAACACTATAAAAGGTTAATTCACCAAGTAATATAGCTGTAAATAACTATTTTACACACTCACAAAGCATTGTTCACTCTCTCATTGTTCCTAAGATAAGGAATATTCTTGCAAATCAGTCTATTTGTTTGTCTCTAGGGTTAGCAATCATCATGGGTTTTTTGTTTTGTTTTGGGGGTTTTTTGTGTGTTTTTTTTTAGATAGAATCAATCTAATTTTTAATGGTGAAATCATGTTTACTCAGAAGGGAAACAGCTGAAATAGCACTACAACTGCCCATGTGAGAAGAGCGGTCCCTCAAGGAGAGGTCCATATTACTGACTCTCCAATGCTGAAGGATCTTCATTATGTAGACCTGTGTTGTGCCTGGTCAGTGGAATAAATGCAGACCTTAGATGGCACTCGATTTCTCCATTTTCACAAGCAAACTAGCTACATAGGCAGGTGCAAACTCATTAAAAACAATTTGTACCAGGTGGAACTTCTTTGGGTTTTCTTGAGAAGTTAATTACCATTATTTACCATAAGGAGAAAAAAAAAAAAAGGGGAAGTAATTCACTCCAAGTTCATGCTCAAAAGTCATTTAAAAGCCCCTTAAACTGTGTTTATCTCATAATATACAACAATTTGGAAAGACTAAGCCTAAGCAAAAATTCTTCCTGCTCACTTCCTGACATTTTGTCAGAAAGACCTGCAGAAAGAAGACTCCTCCTAGAGTGTAAATACCTGAGGGAAAGTCAGAGCATCCTCTATTTACCTGTGCACCTGCAAAGGAAAACTAAAACGTCTGAAGCCCCACCTTTTAAGAACCTTGTGAAACAATCTGGGAACAGAGCCAAAAACTCCTCTCTCAGTATATAAGACTCAGGAACAGAGAGGTATTTCCTCAGAGGCAGGTTGTTCGGTAGCTTCTACCGGACTTCCAGAAGATGGGCAGAGGTGGTGGGACTAGAATACCACTATGGATATCAATATTAGCACTTGTCTTCATACACATTGAAGGTAGGAAGATTCACTTTCTTGGCATTTTTACTGTTTTAAAGAATTTATAGCTTGCTTTGGAGTTTGAAACATTTTTTCCTTGGCTTTGTAAAGTTAATGAACCTGTTACATTCGTGCAAGATTTTCTTTTCTGTTATGAATACTTTTCCTTCTTAAGAAGAAGAAATTACCTCTCTTCAAACTGCTGCCCTGTTTTCTCCAGTTGAAATCTGGAACAGCTCCCCTGCATTCAGTGGAACTCACTCAGAACTTACATTTCTACAAAAATGCCTCAAGATTTGCATTTAGCTTTTTATGTCCATTTCAAGGTGGTACAGTATTTCTAAATGCACAAACCAAAAGGTGCAAAAGTACCTCTAGAAAGGAACAAGTCAGAGGATGAGATTGTCTGCATGCATTTTTAAAGATTTTGTTTATCAGCTGATGACACAGTATTGAAAAAAGGAGGGCTTTGGTGAAAATCACTGGACAATAGGTTTTAACAATTCTTTTACTCTTGCCCATGAGGTTGCACAAAAGCTTAGCACACAGGGTTGGTTTGCAATGGGCTAAAAGCAAATGAAGCGACTTTAAGTATTCTAAGAGGGCAGTAATAGTCAGAGATGGATTGAAATAACTTTTTACATTTTTTAAATTATTTTTTCATGAGATAATTTCCCTTAAAGTTTAAGGTAACAACAATATTCGTTTTCCATTTTGATCTCAGGTGCAGATCCTATTGTATGATTTTATATTTTTCCTACTCCTAGGCAATTCCATACTAACTTATGTTAAAAAGTAGTAGTGTCATGGAAAAGCCCATCAAAAGACTGACTGTAGCATTACCACACCATGCAATGGAAGCAGGGATCTGCAATGCATGTGGCATGAGACAGAATGGAGCCATACAATGCATGGAGAGAGAAGCAAAAAGCTCTCTGAGGCCGGGCAGAGGAGGAGCCCAGAGGCACTGAATGGTTCCTACCTTAAAAAAAGGCACAGCATGTCCTTCCAACACCAACTGCAGACCCCTGGGTAGTGCTAAAAGGGACTTGCAGAGCTCTCTACAATTCTGGTTTCAGCCTAAGCCCCTCTAGTGGTGCTGCTCACAGACTTCCCTTGCAGGGTGCAGCAGGAGGTGAGCCTGCCTTTTTGGTTTTCTCTGGCCAGCATAATCTCCACTGCAACATGCTCTGTGATGAACTCTCACTAAGCAGTGTATTAAAAGCCCCTCTGGTCCCTGCAGATAATGTATTTATTCCTATTGTGATGCTGCAGTAGAATGGAATGAAAAATGGTTTCTTTGCTGGAAACAAAAAGTTTTGCTTTGGGGCAAAATCAACAGGCACAAATGTATGTATTGGAAAGACCTATTTCTTTTTCTGTGTGGCTTTTGTGTTTTTCTTCTGCTGCTTTTCACAAAGAGTGCCTAAAATACAGAGTAACTGAGTAAGAGAGGCCAGAGATATGTCCTATAATCCTAAAATGAATTCTTCCTGTACAAAAGGAAATTTTAAAGCACTCTGGCTAGAGAAAAGGTTTTACTGATGCTTAAAGTACAGAGTGACCATAAACCCTAAGAAAATTAAGTTCTTTATCTGAAAAGCTTATAAGGGAATGCAGGGGTACATTGTGACAGTAACAGAATAAGGATCTGCTCAAACTACCACAGGCATGTTTTTGATGGCTTCCCTGCAGTAATTTATCAGTCAAAAAATAAAAACACACCAAAAAAAAAGAAAAGCTGAAGGAGTGGTGTTTGGCCATCATGGTTGCACGCAGCCCTGATTCAAATTTGACCTGTACATGAGCATATCTTTGCTGATTTTTTATTTTTATATATACTGACTGTTACATGTTAAAACAGATGTAACTGAGAAATTGAGGGAGCTCAAGAAAATTAGACATTAAAATTTCTACCATTCTTGATGCAGTTCAAGCCCAAGATGGTGAACAACAAACAAAGTATATTTCTCCATCTATCCTGCAGCGACAAACCGTATTTTTATGTTGATCTATTTCTAAGATTTTGTTTCAAATCAAGTTGATAAATAATAAGATTACTAGAATGTTTTTAGTCCTAGCTAGAATACCACACACATTAAAAGAGAAGACCTCTGTACAATATACCCGATCTCTGACTGCTCTAAACTTGAGAACTTCCTATGAGATCTGGGCCAGTGGATCTGCTCTACTGATATGATAGAGTTATCTAATCTTTAACTTCAGGAAAGGTACATACCTTCTATCTAAAAGTGTATTTTCAGAAGAGGTGTGTGTTTACATACATATCACCAGGGTACTTGATAGTAGGCAATAAAGGACACGTTTTAATTTTTTTTACACTGTGTCAAGATGACTGCATTACTCATGAGAGAATAAGGAAACTGTAACTACCTTAAATGTTAGCATAATTAAGCACTACAAGATCATGCGTGACACATAACTGTACAGAGGAAAATAAGGGTGGAAGGATACAAGGCTGACTGGTATATTAGTGATGACAGGCTGAAATAACTGATCACTAAGTCTGTCCTGCAAGAAGTGTACCACAAATTTTTTAACAATAACTGAGGATCATATTGTTGCTTCTGAGTTCAGAACCTGGGCCAGGATCAGATGGGACAATCTTGAACAAATAATGAAAGAAAGTACTACAGCCAAAGGGCATAGTCTTTGGAATTTAGTTGTCAGTGAAATTTATAGAAAGATAGATCACAAAGCAATGTGTAAAAACTACCAATAAAACCTTGTGGAAACTTCCCTACAGAGTGTAAATAGTAATAGGAAATTTTCATCACTAAAAAGGCTATGTTATCTCTATCCATTTTGTAGCATTCTAATAAGATTAAACTTGGTCATTTTTTCTCCTTTTGCTTTTCTACCAGCTTTCAAATCCCAAGAAGTGACAATCATTCCACCTTTTCAAAACACACTGAGAGTAAAGGGTAAGTTAACCAAATGTCATGGCACAGATATCTGTGTTCTTGTTGATCACACAGAGCATGGAGTGACTGAAGAGATCAATAGATTGTGTTAAATGCTTTAGCACTGTGGAAAAAAAACTTAACAGAAAAGTCATCAGTTCCTCAGGTAACACAGATAATCTAACTGTGAATCCAGTGCTTCACCTGCATTTTGTTTATATAATGCAGCTGTAAAAAAAAAAAAAATTAAAAATATACTTATATATGCAATAATGGGAAAAATCATGCACAATATTTCCAGTAAAGAGAGAAAAATACTAATATGCTGAAAACACTGTGGAGACATCTTATCTAGGGTATAGGGTACAATTCAAGCAGGGTGAGTGTAAATGTGGAAGAAATGCAGGAAGGGACTGTGAAGATGATCAGGGAGATAGAAGAGCCTTCTTGTAAGGAAATGAAGACTGAAAAGAGACAAGAGATTTCTATAACTGGTGGGGAGAGTAGTAGGCAGGTGAAACCCCTTCAAGGTGAAGTGTAATTTTGGCACAAGAACAACCAGGCATACGTGAGACAGGAATATTGTTTGGAAGATATCGGCAAAAGTCTTCCAGTCATTCAAAGGTTGCAGGTATGAGTGGCCTTCCCTAGTAAGAGTATGAATTGGTGTTAAACTAACTTTAAACTGGGTTTATGGTGAAACTTTAGAACTTCATACATTTACAAAAGGATTTAAAGGATATGGGTGTTGACAGAACCAGAGCATTGGATCTAGTGACCCAGGAGGTCTCCTTCTCTATGCAAAACAGATTAAACACAAAAAGTAACTGAACCAAATAAAAAAATTATGATGAGCAAATAGCATGACAACAAGGAAAACAGAAGATGGGCTTTTGGGACAGAGGCTACTGAAAGACCCAGGAGGGGAAGGGCATCTAAAGGGAGGGTATTACAGCAAATGACAGGATATTCATACCGCTTGTTTTGGCTCCACAGCTGGCAACCCCTCTCACAATGGCCGTGTGTGCAGCACATGGGGTAACTTCCACTTCAAAACCTTTGATGGGGACATCTTTTACTTCCCTGGAGTCTGCAATTACATCTTTGCATCCAACTGCAAGTCTTCCTATGAGGACTTCAACATCCAAATTAGGCGTACAGTGGCGGAAAATGCTACCGTGATCACTCACGTCATCATGAAGCTGGAAGGAACAGTGATTGAACTGACCCGTGGCTCTGTCCGGCTAGACAACAAATTGTATGTTCATAACTTGCAGCTGTCATCACTGCTGTTGATCCCAGTGAACTCTTTGAGCAAGCATCCCTTTCCCTTGTCTGATCCGACATCATTGCTTCCAAGCAGCTGGAAGGCTCAGGTCTTTCCTGACGTATTAACAAAAATGAGGGCTTGACAGTGAGCTAAGTGCCACTTCTGCACATTATCCCTGTGTCCATTTTATTCAGATGAACTATGTTGCATATGATGGCCCACTTCTACAATTGTGTATGTATATATACAACTGAGTCTATAAGATGGATTCAGTCAAAGTGTTAGAAACTTAAAGGGTGCAAAACCTACCTTCCATTAATGTTACTAGAACAGAATTCTTGAGAGGAGTTTTTGACAGCTTTTGTCTTTGCACCGAACAGCGTGCAGTAAAGCGGTGGCTGCAGCTTATATCTGAGTTAATTTAAAATTATCTATTCTGGAAACTTGCAATCTATGTAGCAATTGCAGCACTGACTTTGGCATAGGGTGTGAAACCTGTAGAAAAGGACAAGTAAATATTTGGGCAGCTATCCTACTGTGAGTTGTCTATTATAGCAGCTATGTACAACGAGCTGGGGTAAAGGTTATCTTGGGTACAGCTTTTTGAATGTCACTCACGCCACAGAAAGCCTGGAGTCCATCTCTTTATCATCAAATGCTTTAAGGCCTGAAGCATATTGTTTGCAAAACAGAGTCTCCTAGCACTTCTTTGAACCACAGAACCAAAAACATATGCCAACATTTTACCTAGAAAAACACTCTTGAGAGAAAGCCAAAAGGAACAACAGGGCTGATCCATTTGCACAATGAGAAGCAACTGCACAGGAAACAGCCAAGATGTTACAAACCTGTGTTGTCTGTATTTAGCTACTGCTCTGATTTCCTCACTGATGGATGCTGAAAATTCTCAAAGAGAATAAGAAAGAATGGCAGTGTGGATATTCAATGAATACTCTGTCCCTACCCCTGCTGACTTCTGGTGATCTTTCCCCAGGGTTCAGATGCCCTACAGCCATATGGGAGTCTTGATAGAGAGAAGTAACAACTATCTGAAAGTTTCTGCCAAGTTAGGGCTGACCTTCCTTTGGAATGAACAGGATGCCCTCCTGGTAAGAAAACATCCAGAACATGGCAGAAAGTCTGTATTTTGAAAATAGTTTGTTTACGTTTTTGCAGTATTAATCAGTCATGTAGACATTAGTTGCTTTTGAATTTGTGTCCATTTTTAGTGTATTATTTTTCCAGTCTTCTCCCAATTTTCCCTTTTTTCCCCCACTAATCTCGGCTCAGAGTCAATAGACCCCCAATTATAATATTTTCACCTCACTGTGAAGTAATCCTCAGATTCCAGACCTGGTAATGTACTGATGTTCACAACCCAGGGCTAGAAGAAGAGCAAGTTTTTCTTGGTTGTCACTGACCTTTCCAATGATGCCTACCTTCTTATCACACAACACAGTCTGCACAGCAAACATATGTCAATTTTTGAGTACACAAGCAATACTGATGTAGGCTGTGCTCTTAACCATCCAGACTGACATTTCTATGAACCTCTTTCCTCACTTCTTTTAGGTGGAACTAGATAAGAAATATGCCAATCAGACTTGTGGACTTTGTGGGGACTTCAATGGAATTCCAGTTAATGATGAATTTATTTCAGGGAGTAAGTAATAAAAAGCATTATTAAGTATCGGTGCTTTTTTTTCTTTTACAATATTCTGTAATGTAGCTTGTGGGTTGTATTAACTGCAAAATTAGTGATACTTTTTCATGTATTTCTATGATATAAGTTATGCACAGTCAGGGCTTTGAGATGTATTAGACTGCTTCCATCGCTGTTAGATGTTTTAAGACCTGCCACATAAAACTTGTTTGCAATACTTTGGGTTGAGTTCCTTGTTCATCTTCTTTTACCTTTCATACTATAGTGATATTATTTGGTAATCAATGTTCATGTGATAGCAGGTAGGATCACAAAAGAAAACATTTCCATGCAAATAACCAGTAAACATTGTTCTAATATTTGAATTGTTTTTTACAGGGACAAAACTAACCCCCATACAGTTTGGTAATAGGCAGAAGATGGATGGACCCACAGAGCAGTGTGATGATCCTATTCCTTCTACTGTTCAGATGAACTGCTCAGCAGAATTTGTAAGAACCTCTCTCTCAAAATTTTTCTTTTCAGTGTGAAATATACTCTATCTTTGGAGAAAATTTGTTAGAAGGGAAAAAGTATGCCAAAGTGAATGCAAAAAAATTCCCCAGCTAAGAGAACACTGCGTATTTTCCCAAAAGAGAAAATCACTGAGGATATCTTAATATAAAGAAATTGTATAAGGCTTGGGAACTCACCTGAGGTGAAAGTAACTCAAGATATGGAAGATACTAGAATTAACTAAAGGATTTCCTTTATGTTCTTGCCCTATTGATATACTTTTCCCTAAATATCTGCTTATGGCTACTGTTGTACAGGTTTTGTGGACTGGATGGATCCTTGATTTGTTCTGCCACAAGCCTTAAATAATTAGTTTCATATTTTCTAAATGTTTTGTTTACCTTCTCTGTTTTCCTTCCCAGGCTTCTATCTGTGAGACAGTATTAACCAGTAAAGCATTTACGAGTTGCAACATGCTTGTCAATGTTCAGGACTACATCGAAACTTGCATACAAGACCTATGCCACTGTGATAGCTCAATGGCTGACTTCTGTATGTGTAACACTTTTGCTGAATACTCCCGGCAGTGTGCTCATGCAGGTGGACAGCCTCTGAACTGGAGAACCTCACAACTGTGTCGTAAGTATCTCAGGAAGGGACTTCCACCTGTGCTTATTACCCACATCATTAAACTCCAAATATGTGAGGCTTTTTCCTTGAAAAGACAGTTGTTTAAAGGGGTATAAGATTATCATGAAATCAGTTTCAACCTGATCATACTCAAGACTTTGGGAATATAGAAATTTAGGGGATTTTCCTTATGAACAGTTTTAATATATATCAGAAAAACTAAAATGTTTTGGCCTCCACTTGGATCAGGATTCCCCATCATATCTTGACAGAAAACATCCTAAATTGCAAATACTGTTTTCTCAGCCTTTCAGGGGAAAAGCCAGCTTTATAATACTTTTTCTACTTTTAGCCAAATCATGTCCGTTCAACATGCAATACCATGAGTGTGGCTCTCCCTGCTCTGACACGTGCAGCAACCCGGAACGATCTGCACTTTGTGAAGACCATTGTACAGATGGCTGCGTCTGTCCTCCAGGCAAGCTTATTTCCTGCCCTGTTCTCACAGCCAAACCCACTAGAATACTTACTTGTACACATTTAACAACTTTTGCACTCTGTATCATTCTCATCATGACACCAGCATTATTATCATCAAAAGAAAAGCTACATTTCTTCCTTCATATACATGCTCTATTTCTATTCAAATTATTAAATATGCCCTTTTAAATAACAAACATTGAGAAGACGTGTATATAATGACTGAACTGAGAATAAGATAATTTGTTCCTAACAACAAGAGCATTCAGATTCAGTTCCCAGAAAGTATGAAATCTTTAATCAGATTTTGCACACAACGATAACTCCTGTTAGCAAAGCTGCATCTGGTTCGCCAAATCTCCTTCTTGTCAAGTGCTGACTGTCTAAACAACAAGGAGCTCAGAGAGCACCAGGCAGTGTGTAAAATTTGGTGCTTCAGAGAAATATGTATGAGACCTGAGTATCAGTACAAGACAAACAATGCAAGTGTATCTTCTTTGTGCACACTTACGGGGCTGAAAATTTTTGTTGCTGTTGTGAGTGACTGTATGGTAGGATCTTCACCCCTTGCAGCTCTTCTGCCCATTCTCATGATGTCTCACAGAATTCACCATCATTTGTTTGTGTAATGGCATTGACTTCTCTTAAACAATCCTCTGTCTCTGGGCACAAAAATATTTACTTTACAAATATGTCCCTGGGCAGTCTTACAAATGGTTCATCTATTCCACCTCATTATCTAGTAATTTTAATCCTAATTCCATTCTAATGAAGTCCATAACAGAAACGTATTTCCCTAGAGGTCTCTTTTGATCACCCTAGGATTTTAGGTAGGCTTCAATGGCATACAGCCTTTCAATCTCTACATAGCTTGCATCCTATTATTTTAAAGTACTGTGTAATACAGAAGAAAAGGGGCATATTCTCAGGCATCTGCTAGATATGTGTTCAGAGGCAGGCTGTGCAGTGCACAGAATGAGTAACAGACCATTTCTTTTCCTAGGAATGGTGTTTGATGACGTTAATGGTGCTGGCTGCATTCCCCGCAGAGAATGCCACTGTACCTATGAAGGTGAAACTTATGCTCCTGGTGCCTCCTTCTCATCTAAATGCAGATCATGGTAAGATACTTTCATACATGTCTTTTCTTTTAGGTGCACTATCTCAATATTCTGAAGACAGGGAAAAATAACTAATTTCCCCTTAAAAAAATTAGGAACTACTTATCAATTGAAATTTCCTGATTACAGTGTTTTAGAGGACAGTTCATGTCTGTTTTCCCCTTACACTTGGAAGCAAAATTTAAGTTTTTGAATAGATGCCTCAATTTCAAGACCTATCAATTAAAGAAGACAATCAAATAACAGAGGTGTTTCAAAACGTGAATTAGTGTTACATCCTTTGCAGCACTGCAGTATAATATTAGGATGCTCATGTAAATACCATAGAGGACATGACACTTAGGGACATGGTGCATTTAGAGTGGGAGATCACATTTGAGAGGCATATTTGGCAAATATTACCTATATTTTTTGAATATCACTATAACTACTGAAGTTTTATTGCATAACTGTGTGCAAATGCACCCATCTATGTATGAACACAAGAACCATGTTATCTTCCATGAAAAACTTCACATGTTTGAAGCTTGAGCCATGCTAATGGAGATGAGGAGTGATACTTCATATGCAGAAGGATGCATGACAGGTTCACCAGGACTGAATTCTGTCCAAAGACTGGAAATGAACAGCAATATATATATAAAATTATCACTAATATATAAATGTGCCTGCCCCACACTTATTCTGATATTTCATAGTAATACTGGTTTCTTTGACAGTATGATCAGTGTTTCAAGAGGAAAACTGAGGCATCATCTGCCCTTATTGTCTTCTATTTCATTTACATTTGCATTACCCACGGTTACTGAATGCCTTCTTCATTTCAGTACCTGTGTTGGAGGTGAATGGTCTTGTGTCACTCAGTCATGCCCTGGGACTTGCAGTATTGAAGGAGGCTCCCACATTTCAACATTTGATGAGAAACATTACTCTTTCTTCGGAGACTGTAGCTATGTCCTAACCAAGGTAAAAATGAGTCACCCTTGCTAAAGGAAAGTGGTTTTATTATATATAAGGTTTTTTGTTGAAAATTACTGGCAGTCACATCAACTTTATGAAATTTAGAGGGTCAACATGGAGCCTGTCTGTTAGGTTATACTAAATAATACTAGTGGTTTTGTGTTCTTTGATCATTGTTTAAGAATTGCACTGAGTTTTTAGCAGACATATTAAATACCTAGATTTTAGTAGATATACTAAATACCTAGATTTCATAACCCTAGCTATTTTTATGGTTTATTTGTATTGGGTGAGTCATGTAAACTATTTTCATAAGGACTTCATGTTGAATCAAATCTGTTATCAATAAGATCAGTCTGAACATTACCAAGTAAGAGAACAATAAAAATTTAGGAAGGAGCTAGAGTACTTTAGAAATAGATTAGACTAAATTGATGAAACTTTTGAATGAGTTTCATCAAGTACTTTTCTTGATCCACAATGGAAGCATAGATCAGACTTATACTTTAAACTCCTCTTTTCGACACCAACATGTAAAATTAGATTCTCAGGGTTTCTGGAGGTAGAGAAAAATCACTAAATTTGTACTCAAAAGTTCAAAAAGCCCACAAATTTAATATTGAATTTCCAGATGTCTGGAATTCTGCATATCAGCTATCCTCAATTTAGTCTTCATTATGCCAAAGAAGTGATAAGACGAATTCAGAATCACAGCCTTCTCTGAGTGTTGCCCTGTTAAGTCTTGGCCATTAGTCACCCTTTGAAGGTGGCTCACAGAACACAGTTTAATGAAAAGCAGAACCAAGACAAAAAACCGAATTTTGCCTTTATTCAGTAATTTAGTGAATAAGGATTTTAGCTTAATTTTCTCCTGTTAGAGAATATTTAAATGCACGATTTCCTACCAGTCTGAAAAATGTTCAAATTACCAAGGTCCTTGATAACTTATTCAGTGCAGAAGACTGGAAACAATTTCTTTCCTCTCCCTGGTAAACTTCATAACCACTGGGAAAGAAAGGCACGTGTCCTTCTTCTCTAGCATATTAAACTAGTATTACCTTAACATTAGAAACTACTATTACCTAAGCCTTAGGGAGTTTAATGTTCAGCTTAATATGTCTAACTCACCCTTGATGTCAGGAACAATGGATAGCTTCCAGAGTGCAGACTGCATGAATGCCAGCTGACTTGGTGTCTGTATACATACATGTAAGACCACGTGAGCAAGAAGAAATTAAATACACAATATTTTGAAAGATTCACTCTACTAAGAATTCCACTTAAGTGTGAACTTTTTTAAGTTAGCAATATTTTAATATAACAAATCCTTTTATTGGTATCTTTTGTTTTCTTCTTCTAGCTCTGTGACAGCAATGAATTCACAGTTCTGGGAGACATCCACAAGTGTGGCCTGACTGAAACTGAGACGTGCCTCAAGGGTATAGCCATCAGCCTGAGTGGAGGACAAACTGTGAGTAGCAAATGTAAACACCTAACATTCTGCAGGGATGTTCTCAAACCTTAACAGACAAGTAACAAGACACATAACAGCACACACAGGAAATCTGCACTTATTTTTCCTTTTATCTCATTTGAACATTATTCAAAGTAAAATTAAGAATAAAGTAAGTACATTAGAAGACAAGATCCTAGTAGTTTTCTCTTAGTTAGATAACTTTGGGCTTTTGCTTTTTTAGACAATGGACCGCAGTAATAAAATTAAAGAAATAATATACTAATCAAAACATCATCATAGTCTCCCTCCACTTTTTTTTTCCCCTCCATCTTGAACAGTATTAGAAAATATTTTGAAAGTACTTTACTTTTCCTAAATATGCTTGGTAATCATTGCCTTTTGTTGTGCACAGAACATTGTGATCCAACCTTCTGGTAGTGTATTTGTGAATATGATCTACACACAGCTGCCATTCTCAGCAGGTAAGTTCCTTTGGAAGACTTCTGTAATGTTTCTCATTTTTTACTTTAAAGTGTTATTACATGAATTAATCTAAAGCCAAATTCTACCTTTGATTACACTGCAGCAAACCCAAAGTACTGCAGTAGAGCATAGTCTCCCACTTCTAATGTAACAGGGTGTCCCTATTCAAAACTTAGAATTTTAGCAAAATTAAGGTCTAAATATCTAATGAAATGGAGATTCAGTTCAAGGAAACAGTGTCATTGCACACTTCCAGATCCAAACATTGACATAAGAGATGAAAGAAAAAATATGACATGCAACAGGACTCCAATATCTCAAGTAATTTAGTTCCCTGTGTTCCCTCTGGAGCACATTAATCTCTGGAGTTTCTCTCATGACAGTTCTTCTCAGATACTACTGCACCTGAACACAAAGCAAACCATGAAAGGACTTAATAGGACCAGACTGGAGTCTTCCATTTAATAGTGTTATATCATTTTCACCAAGGAAAAGCAGCCTTTTAAATAGCAATGAAAGTGTGCGTTCTTCCCCTTATTTTAAAACACCTGACAAAAAGTGCAGGGTTTGTATACATTTGTTGTTTAGGTGTTTATATTAGCCTGTTTTGGTGCTGGATTTGAAATCCTGTATGGATCATTTCTGCCCCAGTTCTTCAGAAATTAGAATCATATCAAACACAGCTGTAGAATTCCTCTGTGTGATGAACAATAATTTCAAATGCTCATATCATATGAAATTATAACTCTTTTGTTCTTATATCCCTAGCAAATGTCACCATCTTCAGACCTTCATCTTTCTTCATCATTCTGCAAACAACCTTTGGTCTTCAGCTACAGGTTCAACTTGTGCCTTTCATGCAACTTTTTATAGACTTAGACCCCTCACATAAAGGGCAGACCTGTGGTAAGTGACCTTAGCGTAACAAGTGCCTTCACCAGTGTGTGTCATTCTGTAGGGCACTTTCACAGACCATCTGCTTCCTTTTAGGTCTCTGCGGAAACTTCAATGACATGCAGACAGATGATTTCAAAACCACCAGTGGTGTAATAGAGGGTACTTCAGCTGCCTTTGGCAATACTTGGAAAACTCGGGCTGATTGTCCTGATGCCAAAAATACCTTTGAGAACCCCTGTACTGTCAGCATACAAAACGGTAAGCTCAGCATATAGTAACAACTTCTATTCTCTTTTAAGATGCAAAGACAGAATAAGCTGATCAGTCACCAAGTATTTAGACAAAATAACAGAACTGTTTGCACACACACTATTTTCCTCAGCTGACACTAGAAGTCTTCAATTAATAAACAATAGCTAGGAAAATATTGTGGATCTGTAAAAATATTCCTTGGGATCAAGACAGCCGCTGTTTTTGCCAGCTTACTTAAGAGAAAGTGGAACCATACAGCATATTAGGGATCCATTCCTGGAAAGGGCTGACTGTCATATAGGAAAAAAACTGTGCATAGCCCCACTGAATGTTGGACTCAGTGTGACCTTTCCACTGTTAAACTGAGAACCAGATTTAAAATTCAGAATTTCAAAGTTTTCAAGCTCCATTTTAGCCAATAAAATATATAATTTTGAGTATTCACAAGCTTACTCTTTTGTTTTCTCAGATGAACTAGCATATTTTTAATTTACAATGTGAACTTTTCTTTTCAAAATTTGGTTATGGATGTCTTAGTTTATTCCATGACAATTACCACAAATTAGAGAGCATTCAGTTTATCAAGAGTTCGTATTTCTCTTTACAGGAAGCAAAAGACTGTTTCAGCAAATGTGGGGCTAAATTATATTGTAAAGTTAAGCTTCTGCAATCTCCCTGCAGGAAGTATAGTAAAACTGAGACAAGAGTTTTGAAAACTAACTACAATAGAAACTTACCATGTTTTCAATTCACAGACCAGTATGCTCAGCACTGGTGTGGACTGCTCTCTGATACTATGGGACCTTTTGCTGAATGTCACTCAACAGTGAATCCAGAAGTTTACCAGAAGGTATTTGGCTCTCAACTTTATCCCATTTAAGAGAAAAAGACTCAGATTTCTGATACTAACACCTGAGAGAGTAACTTGCCAATTGAGAGGATATGCATTCATGGTAGTTCTTTTCAAGCCAAGGGCTCATTCTTATAAAATTTGCTCCTTTGTAAAGGTATCCCTCCATTCCCAGGAGGATAAATTTACAGGTATATTCCTCCTGCACCTCCTGCATTTTTAAGTGCGAACTTAAAGATTAAGCTAGGAGCTTGGACTCCTTGGACTCCTTATGAGGTCAAGGGACAAAACCTGTCCCTCCTGAGGTAGAAGGAAAGCTTTAGTCAGAATCTTAACCAGCACTTTAGTTTCTCTGAACTGCTCTCAGAAGGCTTTCGCATATATGTAAAGGACAAGGCAAGTAATGTGTGTAAGAAACAGCAAAGAGATTTAGATATGTGAACAAAAACATTCCAGGAATTCAAGGTGATGAAGCTCTGTAACAGAGTCCCTGGGTACTTTACAAAATCTCCCTGTTATTGCAAATTTATAAGATTATAAAGCAAAGATTTATAAGCAAACATCTTCTGGAATTACAATATTATAGTATCCCTGCCCTGCACAGAAACACATTAAATAACTGGTTTTCTTTGTTCCTCTTGTGCAGAGAGCCTAAGCCCCCAAAGCTGGGTGGCATCAAATACTCTCTATTTGTTCTAAATATATACGGCACAGTGGGGAAAAACTGGATGTAGTTGGAAAATCTACCAACACTTGAAAAAGGAAAAAAAAAAAGAAAAAGAAAAAAGAGTTCAAAATTGTAGACCTCTAATTACTCTTTCTTCATGTAAAGAATCTTCTTTGAAAGTGCTCAGTGAAGAACAGGCATATGTTTACTTACACTTGTGGATTACACTCACTTTAACCTCTAACGAATGTAACACTCTATAGAGCACCATGGCTTTGACATGACAATCTGATGATCATATGTCATCCCCTGCTCCTAGAACTGCATGTTTGACACATGTAACTGTGAGAAGAGTGAGGACTGCATGTGTGCTGCCCTTTCAAGCTATGTCAGAGCCTGTGCTGCTAAAGGAGTTCTCCTCCCTGGATGGAGAAGCAAAGCCTGCAGTAAGTTTTACATTCCTTTGCCTTTTGAAAATGATCACCCAGAAGCCCCTACAGAGCAGCTCTCAGGGATTTCCACAGTAAATTAGGTTTTAAGCATAGTATTGACTTTGAAGAAGTTGAGGAGGAAAGGAATACCATAAAAGACAAGCAATAAACAGTTAGAAATGGAAAAAAGAGGCTTTGTTAGATTACTTGCTCAGAACCAGCAGAAGTAACGTGGAGAGCCATACCCTTGCAATAGGAATAAAATAAGTAAGGTGTTTCTCGATTTACTTTGACAAAAAAAAAAGGTAAAAATAGCAATGAGGAAGAAACATACTATGCATTAATATAGTCGAACTTTGTCCTCTTTTTAATTTGGAAAAAATATTTGTATTTGTGACACAATTATAGAGGAAAATTCTGCTCCGGCAGTAAAAAAAAAAAATTACATTATTGAGGATATCAGTAAAGCATTTGTATATACCATGTTGATCATATATATTTTACCTCAAATACTTCACTTATACCTACGTTGATTCTTAAATGAACTACAAATGTAACTCACTTTTTTACTTTCAAGCGAAATACACCACCTTGTGTCCGAAATCTTTGAAGTACACTTACAATGTCGATACCTGTCAACCCACCTGCCGGTCTCTGAGTGAGCCTGATGTCACATGCAGCATTAAGTTTGTCCCAGTTGACGGCTGCACCTGCATAAATGGAACATACATGGATGAAACTGGCAAATGTGTGCCTGCATCTAGCTGTCCTTGTTACTACAAAGGAATGCCTCTGTCTTCCGGAGAAGTTATTCATGATAATGGTGTTGTCTGGTAAGAGATTTGTAAAGAGAAAAATGAGATTGCTTATGTCCAATCATGAAATCATATATACATTATGAAATCAAATCAAATGCACCTTTTTCCCTAATAATTTCAATTAAAAAATCACATTCCTAAAAATTGTTAGGGCTACCCATGTTTGGAAGATTGTACAGGAATTAAACAAAACCTACTGGGGTAGGTTAGCCTTTGCTAACAGCCAAACTCCTACCTAGTCCCTCTCTTTCTGCCTCCCTTCCTGTCTCCTTCCCCACAACACATACTTTTCTTATCTATGACTGTAAAAGACTTGTTCTATGGTGAAAGATACTTGATAGTAACGTTACAGATTATTCCCTTTATGAATGGAATCTGAATTATCCTGAAGGACACTTTTTAAACCAGGCAAATAGACAAAGTAAACACTTCCTTTATATAGAATATACTTGTATTTTGTTCTGCTCTAACATAAAATATTTTTGAACAGAAAAAATATTTTGGTAAAGGACATGTTTTATCTGTTTTATCACACAGTAATTTTTCATTATTTCAAATTCACTAGGAAACAGGCTGAAAATTGACCAAAAAATGTTTAAACATATCCATTACTTTTTTTTTTTTTAATAGCACTTGCACCTATGGAAAACTGAGCTGCATTGGAGAGAAACCTGAACCAGGTAACATATCAGTTTATTCCTTAAGATTTTCTTCAATTCTCCTTTTCCATCTTCATCCTCTTCAGTTCTCTTTTGTCATAATAATGCAAATTGTAAAAGTAGGAAATCAATCAAGAAAATTAATCGAGGACTTCTGTAATGTAGAGGATATTCCCAAAATATAAATAAATACTTTCTTACCTTTCAGATGGCTGAAATAAATTATAACCCCCTGGGTTACCCAGTAGAAAAGAGTACAAGGTCACCTCACTGAATGTGAAGGGAAAACCATCCACATTTTAACTGAAACTAGTAAAAGCCAGAAAAAAAACACAAACAAAGTAATCGAAGATCTTTGTTTTCTTGGTTTGTTTCTCTGAAAGGTGTTTCATGAAGCTAACTAAATGTTAATTTAATGGATTAGTCCAAGCATAAGCACAAAAAGCAGATAAATATGATTTCAAAACAATAATCAGTTTCTCTTTCTGGTCAAACATATCCTTTTAAGGTACCCAAATGTCACAAAGGAGTTTTCTCTCATTTTTCTTCAGTCTGTATTAAGGAAACACAAAGATACAAATGCATGGCTTCTGTCATATTTCTCATGGGTTTTCTCTCTTTCAGTCTGTGTACCTCCCATGGTTTATATCGACTGTGGTAATGCCACTGCAGATGTGGTAGGAGCAGGATGCCAGAAGAGCTGTCAGACTCTAGATATGGAATGCGTAAGTATAGAGTCTTTATAATTAGTTGAGAGCATATTAAGCTAGATCTCTTTTACAATAACCAGCTGCCGCTGGACTCTTCCAGGGGGGAAATGTTTCAAGACATGTTTTCTCTATGGTTCTTACAGTACAGAACTCACTGTGTCTCTGGCTGTGTATGTCCTCATGATCAAGTGTTAGATGGCAAAGGAGGCTGTATAGCTCCAGAAGACTGTCCATGTATTCACAATGGGAATTCCTACAATCCAGGAGAATCAATCAGAGTTGGCTGTAACAACTGGTAAGAGCATATTGAAAAATAAAATTTCCTTCAAGCTCTAGGGAAGTAACACGAGTGAATAGCATTTCACTCTAACAGCATCAAGATTCATAAAAGGAATCCTACATAAAATGATCCACTTAGTACCTAAAAAGCAAGCTCTGTCTGTTTTTCTTGATGGTATACAGCCCAGAAATTGCAAATGGTCAGAAGATCACTATGGTTTGGAGGCTGTCATATTCATTCAAGTCAAGAAATCTTCTTTTTTTTTCTTCCCAGGAAATCCTTACATTTCAGTACATCCAGCAAGATTTAGAAATGTGAAAGAGTTAATGTTTTCTTATCCAAATTATTTACTACATCATTAAGTAACAGTCTTTGGCTAAATCCCAAAAGTTCTTGAGCTGTGCTGCATTTCTGAGACTAAGCAAACTTTATTTTTTCATTAGAGTCTTAACACATTGTAAAATGAAGGAATGTACCTATATTGGGTGTATGTATAGCTTTTACATTTTGAGTGCTTTTTGTCTTATGTAGCACATGTAGAAACAGAAAATGGCATTGCTCTGAGGAACCCTGCCTGGAAACGTGTTCTGTTTATGGAGATGGGCATTATACCACCTTTGATGGCAAACGTTTTGATTTTGAAGGAGACTGTGAATATGTTCTGGTCCAGGTAACAGAGTCCTTCTCAGATTTTTGCATTAAGTACCTTGCATTTTACTTATGACCATGTTGCATAGTTAATATTGAATACCATTCCTCTGTTTCAGAACTATTGTGGTCAACAAGCTATGAATCAGGGAACCTTCAGAGTCATCACTGAGAACATTCCATGTGGCACTACAGGAACCACCTGCTCTAAGTCTATTAAAGTTTTCTTGGGGGTGAGTATTTTCTTTAAGTTATGCCAGGAGGGTGGAACAAGCTGTCCCAGATAGACTGCATTGCAGAAGTGTCCTCCAAGATAGTGAAAATGTTACTAGACTTCTTTGCTCACTGCTAATGACTCTGCTCTCTGCTAGAGAAAGCAAAGGAGGAAACTCTAAAATTTCTTAATGTGAGGCTGTTGAATAGAATCCTTTTGATGATAATAGTTATTATTTCAATTAGTTACTGGCAACAGATAAACCTGTACCAAAATAGATAACTTTTTTTAATTGGCCTCTAACTTTTTCTTTTCCTGTCTTAGAACTATGAGCTGGTACTCAGTGATGGACACTCTGATGTCATCCAGAGGACACCTGGAGGAAAAATGCCATTCCAAATCCGTTCCATGGGTATCTACCTGGTAGTTGACACCACTGCTGGTCTGATACTCATGTGGGACAAGAAGACCAGTATATTCATCAAACTTAGTCCCAGCTTTCAGGTACACTTTAAAATCAAAAACATTGATAAAATTAATTCTGAAACACATTCATATTATCTCTCAAAGAAAAAGTGTGGAAATTTAGGCTGTACATGAAAGACTTCAAGAGCAGCAATTGCGTATTATTATCCTTGCTATGTTGAATCAGATTGTGTACTATGCATTTTCCTTACATTACATTATTCAGCAACTACATCAGTAGCTTTCCTCATGAAAAGACCTCACAGAAGAGATATGTTCATGATCAGCTAAAACTAAATAGCTCAGTACTTAAGAACAAAACCCATGAGTCTACTCTTCTTCCTTTGTTTATCCTTCCTAGCAACAATTCAGAAATAATCTCTTTATGAAAGGCATTTTATGAAAATTTGCAACACTGTTACTTAAGAGGCACAGATAATCTTAAATAAGATTCATTCTGAGGTCTGTTACTCACAGATACTGAGAAACTGTACCTTATTATTTTTGTGATTTTTGTGTATTTATCCTGATGCAGGGACATGTTTGTGGACTTTGTGGAAACTATGATGGCAATGGAAATAATGACTTCACTACTCGCAGCCAGTCTGTGGTAGGAAATGTGCTGGAGTTTGCCAATAGCTGGAAAGTGTCTTCTAGTTGCCCAAATGCCAATCGTACAAAGGATCCATGCACTGCAAACCCATACAGGAAAGCCTGGGCACAGAAGCAATGCAGCATCATTACCAGTGAAGTGTTTGCAAAGTGTCACTCCCAGGTATGACAAAAACTTTAGTCTTAAATTCTCTTGAGACAAAGATTATATCAATTCTTATGTGAGATTAAAAAAAAACCAACCAAACAAACAAATAAAAAAAACCCCAAACACAAACACCTAAAATATGCTTTTTCATGCTTTACAAAGTGAGCTCAGACCAAGTTCTATGGAGATTGCATGGAAAGTATTTTCACGAAAGTATTTTCACTTTTGTTTTCTCAGCTTTAGCCTTGAACAACTACACTTAAGAAATCGATAGTTTGGATTGGTTGTTCTTGTTTGTTTGTTTGCTTTTAATAGAAGGACAAATCATAGATAAATTTCAGGATATGCTTATTTTCTAATGGCATCATTTTCTATTAATATAAATATCAGCCACCTGATATGTATGACTGTGTGCTAGCTTGTAGTAATTAACAGTATTCTGCAATTGTACCTTCAACATCACACAGTTCTTAGTATTACAGCTTAGTAGCAATAGCTTTAGTCTACATTTTCCTCCTGATTTTTTTCAAAGCATTCTCATGGTTTCTTCCTTTCTTAGCTTCCTCACATACAGCTGTCAGTTTCAGATATTTTATTCAGCTATTTTAGGACAGTGCAAACGGGACAAGGGCACGAAAACTTAAATGTTTTCTCCATCAGGTTGAACCAAACGAATATTATCAAGCATGTGTGGATGATGCTTGTGCCTGTGACACTGGAGGAGACTGTGAATGTTTCTGCACAGCAGTAGCTGCCTATGCTCAAGCATGCAATGAGCTGGACATTTGCATTTCATGGAGAACCCCATCCATATGTCGTAAGTTTCGACCTACTACCTTTGGGAGGGGTCCAGAGGGAAAGAAAACAGGAAAAAAAAAAAAGTAGGAAAAAACAAAAGACAAAATTGTATTTGTAAGAAAGAGGCACTGTTGTATTCTTTAAAAAACAACCAGAAAAACCCCAACAAAGAAATTTGGGTAAATCACAGGAAGACAACCTATCCTACTAAAATGAAACCACAGATAGTAACTTTACAAGTGGTGTGATTAATGTCTGATTAACTTGTCAATCATGATACACAACTAGTGAACTATAGTATTATATTACACTCCCACCTGTCTATAGCAGGCTCCATGTAAATAAATACTAGTGCATACTAGCTAAAATCAGTGATTTAATCAACTGATTTTTCTTGTTTAATGTGTAATTCTGTTCTATGTGTTACAAATTAATTTATGTCAAAAGGTGGTAGAAATATAACAACTTTATCAAATTAGCAATAAGACAATATACTATTCACCACCTACGTGACTATTCTGATCCCATGGGGTTTTTACCCAGCAAAACTGAGAGACTATAGAGCTGAAAGATCAAAGGTATTTTGCTGACATTTCCCCTTCTTCTAGCTCTGTTCTGTGATTACTACAATCCACAAGGGGAATGTGAGTGGCACTACAAACCATGTGGAGCCCCTTGTATGAAGACCTGCAACAATCCAAGCGGGAACTGCCTTCATGAGATGAGAGGTTTGGAAGGTAAACATAATAATATGTTTCTTGTTCTAGTTATAAAAGCTTAAAATGCAGTATGATTAACAAAATTTAGATTACTCAGTGTATGACATGCTTGTAGTAGAAATTATAAGAAGAGATTTTCTAATTTAGTATCTTACTACCTAATGGGTCGTACTTGTTTGGAGTGAAGATGAGGACAAAATGCACCAAAGCTTAATATGCAATCAAAATAGCAGTAAGAGGGTCTGAAATTCCACTTACCACATGGGACAATACTGGGAAAGCAGATATGAGTTTAGAGTTAATTCTACTTGTGAAAGGGCTAGTTTCAACTTGACTCTTTTTATTGCAGGCTGCTATCCACACTGTCCAAAAAATAAGCCCTATTTTGATGAAGAAACCATGACCTGTGTTTCTAATTGTGGTTGTTATGAAAATGGGAAAAATTACAAACCCGGAATGGAGATGCCTCCAAAGCAGAATTGTGAATCATGGTAAGATTAGTAAAGATTTTTAAAAATTGAGTTTAAAGTTGTGGAACATAATTTATCACACATTAAACATGTTGTTTACCAACAGGAAGCAGGCTAGTTAGAGGCTGATGAATAGTGTCTAATTTTCTTCCCTTCCCAGGAACTTAAATGATACCATGGTGAAACATTTCACCATTGAGAGATTAATTTACTACTTAGTCTGTATATTTATTAAAGTGCTTTTAAATTATTATGATCATTATTAAATCAAATAAAAATAAAATAACAATAGTTAGGGAATAGTCCTAGAATTTGTATTAAGATATCCCTAAACTCATTGTATGAAATTCTCTAGAAGTTAGCAGCCAACTCATATACGTGGTTTTGAGCTTGTTTCTGCTATTTCACTGGTACTTGCATAGTTGCAACTGTCCCATAGTTGCAAGTATTCCCACACATTACTGATGGCAAGTTGCAACAAGTGCTGCTAAGCCTTCTATAAAATAGTACAAAGTTAGCAGAATCAGTTGTTAAGCAGTTAACAATTGTCTTAAGACACCTTTAAAGTAGCTGCGCTTGAATACAGTAAGCAGTGCAATGCAAATACCAAAAAATCTTAACACAAAGCCCATTTGAGCAAACCCAACTTCTTTGGTATGTTTTGCAGTTCATAGACATCTTTGTCTACATGGTCTAGGCCATTAACAGCACTAAACCTGAAGCAATAAGTACATATTTATATTTATTTAAGTTTATTCAATGTATAGATGCCCTTAGTCACTGTAAATAAGTACATCAAGATTCAGTTATTAAAACATAAGACAAATTCCATCTAAAACCAGAATGCATTCTTGCATCTTTTGGAAGTCTGATGGAAATTTGCTGTGTAGATTACTTCAACATCCATGATACAGTGATCGTTTGTATATATCCTTATGAATGTAAATGATACATTTACTGCACTTTCCCTTCCAAAAAATAAGTAGACCTATCAGAGTGATGAGAACATCTCAGATGACCCTTATTCACACCTTTTCTCAGCTCCCAAAAGCACTGATAAGGTTGCTGCATGTTTCATAGGCTGGCACAGAAGAGTTATCTTTCTTGCCAGAGAACTGCGTGAAGATAACCTAGCCTGAATTTGTACAGCAGAATTGAAGCTCTAACTCAGAGAAGATAGGGGCATTCTACATTTAAACACACAATGAATAGATTGATAGAAAAAAGTTGAAACAAAAAAATTATGTCATGAACTGATATATTCACATTGATAATCTCAATTTTTCTCTTTTCCAGTGAATGTACAATTCATGGCAAAGAATGCAGATATGACGAACATGGTATGTTGACAAAGTTGTTTTTATATGATTAGGACGCATTTAAGGTATTCTGTTCTGTGTTTCAGATAGCAAGGAATAACATCCTATTTTGATTTACAGAATGTGTCTGCTTCTATGAGGGACAGAAATATAACTACAAAGATGTGGTCTACAACACTACAGATGGAACAGGAGGGTGTATTGTTGCAATCTGTGGTCCCAATGGAACACTTGAAAGGATTATCTATGAGTGTCCAATCTCAACATCACCCACAACAGCAACAACATTTCATTTCAGCACTACACCACCTGCCAGTACTTCCACAGGTAAATTCTTTATAGGACATAAGAGTGTATTCTGTTTATTAGTGAGTAAAATTTAGCTACAAAATGATGCCCACACGCACAGCATGAATAAATTAATACAACCTCACAATAAATGAGAGCAGTAACAAGGAAATAAACATAGAAAAAAATCCACTTCTGAAACACCACATGAAATTACATCCTATTAAATTAATATCAATCATATTAAATTAAAAGTATGCTAAACTGATGCCCTACAGGATCACAATGCAAGAAAAGTAACAGTAGGAAAATTGTTCGCCCATTCAAAATAACATAAAAAGATCATATCTACAGGAATTTATTTTAAGTTTCATGGTCTCTTCCTTTTCTTCTTTGCAGTGTCACCAACCACATCAGTATGTGTTCATGAAGTCTGTGAGTGGTCAGAATGGTATGATGGCAGTCTGCCAACCCCTGGCTATGATGGTGGAGATTTTGAAACCTTCAGTGATTTAAGAGCTAAAGGTTATGAAGTTTGTAAAGCTCCACGGGATATTCAATGCAGAGCAGAAAAATTCCCTGATATACCACTGAAAGACCTTGGTCAAAAAGTAGAATGCAGTACAACAGCTGGGCTTATATGTTACAACAAAGACCAAATTTCAACAATGTGCAACAACTATGAGATCAGAGTCCTATGCTGTGTTTTTGTACCATGTTCTTCCTCAACATATCCAGTCTCTACAACTTCTGAAAGTACAACATTGATACATTCAACATCTGAAGAAACAACAACCACAACCATAATGACAAGACCAGTCACCACCTTTCCTTCAACACCTTCTCTTTGCTTTAAAGAAGAATGTTACTGGTCCAGATGGTATGATGTCAGTTATCCAGGGTCTGGTTATGATGATGGAGATTTCGACACCATTGAGAACATTAAAAAAAAAGGATACAAAGTCTGTGCTAACAGAAGGGATGTGGAATGCAGAGCAGTGAGGTTTCCTAACACACCATATCCTCTCCTGGAGCAAAACATCCTGTGCAATACAGAAGAAGGCTTGAAATGTTACAATAAAGACCAGTTGCCGCCCATTTGCTATAATTATGAATTAAGATTTAAATGCTGTGAAAATATAACAGTACCATGCCAAACAACCACTGAAACTATTAGTACTGAAAAAACAACAGAACCAACTACACTTACTTCAACACGATTCAGTACAACACCCACAGAAGTATCAACAACGCCACACTTGATAACAAAACACAAGACAACACCACCAGAAACATATCAACCACAAACAGATCACATTATTACCAGAAACACAACAAAACCAACAACACAAACTCAAAAAGAAACAACTCCTGCCACTACCACAACACACTTCACAATGACAACTACAAAAACCACTGGATCCCAGACCACCACCACTACTATGGTAACCACCCCCTGTGAACCCGAAGTCTGCACCTGGAGCGAATGGTTCGACGTCGACTTCCCCTCCGCCGGGCCCAACCAGGGAGACTTCGAAACCTACCAGCACATCCGGGCTGCCGGGAAGCGCGTCTGCCAGCGTCCAAAGGAGATCGAGTGCCGGGCCGAGGACTACCCCGACGTTCCCATCCAACAGGTGGGGCAGGTCGTGCAGTGCGACGTCCACTATGGACTGGTGTGCAAGAACGAGGACCAGACTGGAAAATTCAAGATGTGCCTCAACTACAGGATACGCGTCCTCTGCTGCACCCCCAACTACAACTGCGTAAGCCCCACCACCAGCCCCACCACCAGCCCCATCACCACCACCACCAGCAGGCCCACGGCAAGCAGCACGCTGCCAACCTCCACCTCAGTCACGACCTCCACCTCCACCTTCCACTCTTCCACCACGCTGCCCACCTCCTCAGAAACCACGTCCACTTCCACCACCACCACCAGCCCCACGCCAACGCCTCCCACAGCCACTCCCACCGTGAGCTCCACCACATCCACCACCCCCTGTGAACCCGAAGTCTGCACCTGGAGCGAATGGTTCGACGTCGACTTCCCCTCCGCCGGGCCCAACCAGGGAGACTTCGAAACCTACCAGCACATCCGGGCCGCCGGGAAGCGCGTCTGCCAGCGTCCAAAGGAGATCGAGTGCCGGGCCGAGGACTACCCCGACGTTCCCATCCAACAGGTGGGGCAGGTCGTGCAGTGCGACGTCCACTATGGACTGGTGTGCAAGAACGAGGACCAGACTGGAAAATTCAAGATGTGCCTCAACTACAGGATACGCGTCCTCTGCTGCACCCCCAACTACAACTGCGTAAGCCCCACCACCAGTCCCACCACCACCAATACCAGAAGTGAACCTTTCTGGACCAGGACTCCATCTCCAATTTTAACAACGCCATGTTTCTGCAAGATTGGCGACTCTATTTTTTCACCTGGTTAGTTTTCTGGTTTTTTAAGGGAATATAGTTCATATTTTGTAGCGGTTTTTTTTTTTTTTTTTTGCGGCATCCTAATTTTCTTTATTAGTTTTTTTTTTTAAATTTTATTTAAAATGTTTTTTTCCCTTGTTGCTTTTTTTACTTTTTTTACTTTTTTTTTCATCTCTTTTGTCTTATTTTGTATTTCTATGTTTTCTCCTTTTTTACAGGTGATCTGATTTACAACAGAATGGATAGTGATGGATGTAGATTTTATGCAATCTGTAGCCCAGTATGTACTATTGAACGACACAGTGTACCTTGTAATGTCACTACTCCTTTATCCACTACTTCCTCTGAGTGGTCTACCACAACAACATCAGTTCCTCTGTCAACCACTACGAAAAGTTTTCATTTTCACGGCTGTGTTTCTAATACATACCCTCCCCTACAGGTATGTAATTTCTGACTTTTTTTATGACTTTTGAAATAACGTACTTTTTCAGGTGACAGCAGTGCGTAATAGCTTGTAGTCCATAAAGCTTAGATGTACAGGTTGTTGTAATTATTTTACTAGTGATGGGCAAAATATGACTTAAAATTTGAATTTGTTTTTATTTTTAATTTCAGGGTTTTATACTGATAAAGAAAGTTACATTATTCTTTTCTAATTACTCTAGTGGTAGTAAAACACTGATGCACTGCATCAATAATAAGATCTCTCTGCCATAATAGAATGGGTTTTCTTGAGGATCTTGTTGTGTCACTAAACAGAAATATTTAAGCTCCTCTGGAGGCTTGTATCTGCTTCTCTTCTGCCCTCTTACTTTTATTTCCATAGACTTTTATTTTTCCTTTTGTGGTGGTCTGTGCTGACAGTGAAGTGCACTATACATAGTTAGTATAAAGTTCCTTTAACCTAACACTTATCACCCTAAACCCCTGAAGAGCTTCTCATGCAGAAGAAACAGCTCTAATTAAGGCTCCCACCTTCTTTTAGCATCGAAGAAATTTATCATGTGGAATATTGGCAATCTTTTACTACCAGTGAAGTTTTTCATTTTAGTCTTTGCTTCAGATTTAATAAAGGTTATACCCATTTGCTATCTTCTGTGACAAGAATTTTTTGTTCCTTTTCAGCCTGGAGAACATTACAAATTATCCAACTGTACAGAAGTCATCTGTAAAGGAGACAATGATATAGACATAGTACCAACATACTGCCCACCTGTAAAGGAAATTACCTGTGCAAACAAATATCCTGCAGTCCTAGTACCTGATGAAAATGGCTGCTGTTACCGATATGAGTGTCCATGTAAGCACCAGTAGATTAAGCAATTAGGTTTGCTGAAAAAAGCAAAGCTTTGCATGGACTAGATGGGTATTTTCTTTTCTTAAGGTTGCTCTTTTAATTACAGTATATTCACTTGAGTTTCTCAATCTTTCTTCTTCATTAATTATCATCTTAATCTTCCAAATATTTCCTTCGTACCAGGTGTGTGTAGTGGATGGGGTGACCCTCATTACATCACATTCGATGGAATCTACTATACTTTCCTTGAAAACTGCACTTACGTCCTGGTGAAACAGATTATTCCTAAATATGACAACTTCCGTGTTTACATCGACAATTATTACTGTGATGCAAAAGACGGACTCTCCTGCCCTAAATCCATTATTATTTTCTACAAATCTGCAGAAGTGGTGTTGACTCGGGAACTCATGAATGGTGTCATGACCAACGTGGTAAAATACTTTTTTTTTTTTCTCTATTTTTACAAAAAAGAAATAAGGTCCACAAGCTTTACTGATGCTGATTTGAGATAGTCTATTAGAATATCATATTGTGGAGGTGATGAGGGCAGAGGGTATTGTTATGGGAGGGGGGAAAAAGGATTGCACTGGATTCTAAGAACAAAAGGTCATAAACAGCTTAGCATTATGCAGATTATGTATTATGTATGTTTACATGTAGATAATACTAGGAAACAGAATAACAGAGCTGATAGAGAAGGCACAAAGAATGCTCACACTGGTGCTTGATTCATATTTCATGAAAACTGGTACATTGTGCCATTCACTTTTGTAAACAAACAGATAATGAGCAAACACAAATGCAAGTCACAAGTGTGATTCTACTCTTAGAGTGAATATGGGTATGTATCTCTTGTCAGCTGGATGACTAGGGACTGCTTTCTCTGCATAGGGCACTTCAGGTGCCAAATAGAGCCCTGACATGACTCCCCCTTCAGTTTCCTACTGGGAAGAGAGGTATAGCTGAAGAAAAGCTATGACTTGGAGTGTCACCTTTGTGATCCTGAACTAGCACTGGCAAGCCAGTGAAAATGAATAGTCAGTCCCACTCTTACACCGAGGAATCTATTAGTTAATTAGACAATGCAAAGACTGGGAGGAAAAGGTTGTCTAAATAGGCACCCTCCCCTTACAAAGCCATGCCAAACTCTCAGTCAGAAAGGCATGCTGGTTCTAGTGATTCCCTGCAAAAGAAAACAGTAACTGACAGTTTTAACTCTAACTTTATCCCAGTTCACTGAGCAGGGAGTTGCAGAATAACTTCTGACAAAAAGCTATTAGGGAAATATGTTCACCTTCGTTAGCTCATATAAGATACTGGCTGCAAACCAAAAAGCTTAGGCTAACAAATAAATATGACCACTACATAAAACTGGCACTAGGGACATCTGACTTCATTTTGAATTCAGATAACTCCTCCAGTGCCAATTAATGTGTTGTAAAAGAACAGTGTGATTATCCAGCAAAGTTATTATGCAATGGCAGAAATATTTCTGTAGCTAAAGAAAACTACCACTCATTTTCATAGGAAAAATATTTGCAATACACAAAATTAGGAGGGATACAAAGAAAATACTTGAATATAGAATACCGTGCATTAGCACACAATCTGTACAAACACAGTACATAAAGGCCACTTAGTTTATTATCACATTTTATGAATATAGTAGTTCAAGCTGAGATATCAATGTAAATATATGCTGTTATTGAGATGCCAGTGAGTATTGGATGTGATGCAAAACCATATGGACTTATGCAATAATTATGAAGATTAGAAAATTTAAATATTACTTAAAACAATCAGTCAGAAGCAGTGCTTATTCTGAAGTTGTCTTTTGTTGTTTCTTTTTTTCAATCTTGTATTCAGATGTACTTCAACAAAAAGATTGTCAAACCAGGCTTCGAAAAAGACGGCATTTCTTTCTCCACTCTTGGCATCAATATGATTGTTGAAATAAAAGAGATTGGTGCAACTATCACCTTTAGTGGTCTAATCTTCTCTGTGAAACTCCCATACAGCAAATTTGGCAACAACACCGAAGGACAGTGTGGTAAGACAGATGCACTCATTGGAGGTGGTGCTCTTTCCCCATCCTACCATGGTTGTTCTCACCCACTCTGGCTATGCAGTCTCATGACTGACAGAAATTTTTAAAGAGCAGTAAAATGGAAATGAAAACAGTTCTGCTCTTCAACTTCTGTAGGATATCAAAAGCTCAATATTTCAGCAATCAGGTTTTTTTTCTTTGGCACTGGGGTTTTAGACTTGTTTGTTTTTCTAGAACATAAAGTTCATATAACTGTAAAGAAAGCACTACTATGAAGCAAGGCACCATATGCATTTCATGAGCACATCCAGACATATCGGCACAGTAATGTATTGTGCATTTCTGACGTGGCTTATGAGACTTACTCAGCTTGTCTCTTCCAGGAACATGTACAAATAACAAAGCAGATGAATGCCGTTTACCAAGCGGTAAGATCATTTCTTCCTGTCCCCAAATGGCTCATCACTGGATTGTTGATGACAACAAGACGTGCCATGGAGTACCAATAGTACCAACTATAACCACACCTCCACCAAAGCCTCACTGTGAAACACCTCCTCTCTGCAAGCTTATCTTGAGCGAGTAAGGAAAAAACCTGAACAAATTCTTTCTTTCTAGACAAAACTTCCAGTATCTTAGAAGAAGAATAACAACTATAGCCCTAGCATGTTATAATAGCTGAAAATGTTTGCTTAACGACAGAATATATACATATATGTATGTATATATAGTAAAAAGCCTTTGGAAAGGAAACAGCTCTGCCTAAATGACTTGCAAGCCAAAGATAACTGAGCAAGGAGAGGTGAAGAGAGAATATAAGGGATGCAGCAAGCACTAAAATCCATACTCCCTGGTTGCAATCCTGCCAGGGTATGCTTAATAACTCTTAGTTACAGCAAAGGCTTAACTCTACATTTGAACTGGGTATTCAGTACAAACTATAAAGAACCTGGTTATCAAACAGGTTAAGAAAGCAGACACAAACAGTCATTCTTTGTACATTTTATGTAAAACATGGAGCTCCAAAAGCACAAATGCTTGCTTCCTGAAGTATTTCCTATACTTGTGTAGGCTGAAAACAGCTTTTTTTTTTAGCTGAGTCCTTTATAAAGGCCCTCTTACATGTGCTTTCTGTACTGTCTTATAAGTTCTGAGCTATTTTATGTCCAATTTTTCTATCTCTAGACTACTTTTGTCATCCCTTTTTTTCCTCAACCCAGTGCAATTGCCTTTTACACTAAATTTATGGTCTCAGACTGACGAAAAGCTGTGTACACATACAGAAACACTATGACCATTAACCTCTCCAGAAAATAAAAGGAGCTTCAGATTTCCTAATCTTTCCTGAACTTAACTCCCAGTTTATTGGCCATTCCTATGGTTTGTTTCTTCACACCTTCCTTTCTGAAGCAGAAAGTCACACACTATTAAGTGGAAAGTGTTGTCTGACAGGAACAGACTTTATATAATGGCTCATTAACATAGAAGGGGCTTTCTTTACTGTCTGCAGGATTTTTGCACAATGTCATACTGTGATACCACCAGAACCATTTTTCAAAGGCTGTGTTTTCGATGGATGTCGCATAGATGATGAATCCATGCAGTGTTCCAGTTTGGAGATATATGCTACAGAGTGTGCGTCTAGAGGTGTCTGCATTGACTGGAGAGGAAAGACCAACAATACATGCTGTAAGTATTGCAGAACTCAAAATGGATGTGATAAATGGTAGAAGTTAGTTTTTTATTCAGTAAACATGTCTTCTATCTAACACTTGGCTGCTGTCAACAAAAATCCAGCGGGGTCCTTTCTCACAGAAGCTGCAGACGAAGGCAAAGCTGTAGTCATTTTTGCAGCAAAAATGCATCTACAGTCAATTTTTAATTTTTTTTTTGGTCTTTTTCCATACAGCATTCAGCTGTCCAGCAAGCTTGGTATACAAGCCATGTGGGCCCATTAATCCTGATACCTGTGATCAAAGGTAAGGAAAGGCAAAAAAACCCCTCATCCTGAAACAACTGCTTTTATTTATTTTTTTTTTCTATTATTGCCTATCCACTTTCCTTAGAAATTTGAGTTATTTCATAACAAAATGTGTTGCAAATTTGGATAACTTATTCAAGATTTATAAATATCAATCAGCTCTGTCTATATGTGCTTCTTGTTGCACGCCAGGAAGGTTAAATTTTTTGTCTCTTGTATCTGATATGTCAACCTTCTGTATATGCTGTTCTGTCTCCTGCTTCATCACAAAAATATTGTACTCAAATACATACATTCCTCTCATTCCAGCTCTGTTGAGCATCCTGGCTTTGGAATAACTGAAGGTTGTTTCTGTCCTGAAGGAACGACACTCCTGAGTGCAGAAAGCAATATCTGTGTCCCTGAATGCTGTAAGTAATCTGTAGCTAGTTTGGGGAATAAATAGAGATCAGGTTTGTTAGTCAGGAGGCCTGAGTTCTACTGCTGTCTTCTACATGGTCAGATCATCAGCAAATTAGCTTCTTTAAGCTCCTTTAGTCTCCCCATCTAAAAATTGAATAATAATATTATCTTTTTTTCATCATCCCTCCTTATATGAGACCTACCAAGATGGTAGAACTCTATATTTCAGAACTAGTCCGCATATTCATTTTCTTGTTAGCTTTATCTTCACAATATTTTTATTTGTAACTGCACATATGTCAATTTTTAGTGGTGTGAATCTCCATTCATTTCATTGTCTGGGTTTTTTTCTTTTTCTTTCCAGCTTGCAGGGAACCAAATGGAGTACCCAGATGGGTAAGTATCACAATCAATGTGGCTTAAAGTGCACAGATAAGTGAAACAAGAGGGTACTTAGTGTTCCACTAAAACAAAGCTTTGCTTAGGTTGGCGAAGACTTTGTCTTTTCAAATGTTGGTTCCCTCTTAGTCTTAAAAATATTTAGTGCTAGAGCAGCCCTCAGAAATGTAACAGGAAGTGGTGAAGTATTCTTTCAATAACCTCACATACAGTTTCTTTTATTTACAGAAGTTTGTCTTGCTAAAGTTACTATAACTGAAGGGAGAGATGGATAACAAATTTTACCTGTTGCTGATATTGTTCACAGTCTGCATTCTTAGTTCCTCAGCTGCATACAAATCTACAACCTAATGTGCAAATGAGTTTGTCATATGATCATTTCATATTCAAAAATGCATGCAAAGCTCAATCACTTCTCCTTTAGAAATCCTGTATCACTCATGCTGACATAACAAAGTCATAGCTTTGTGAACACACTCAGAACCTTCAGTGGCCTCCAGTATCTTCCCCTAAGAAGCTTCAATTTGAAGGTCTTTTGTAAAATCTAAAAATACAAAAAGGTTGATATAATCAGGTATCACTGTATCCATGAATATGTCAACTAGAAGCAAATAGAATTGTTTTGGCTTGAATTTACTTATTTTTTTTCCTTCTCTTTGTGTGTGTTTTTATTTTTTATATAGCCAGGAGAAAAATGGACAAAAGATTGCCAGGAATGTGTCTGTGACAAAAATACTCTTAAGGTGCACTGTACAAAACACAAATGTTCTCCGACACAGCAAGTATTTTGTGATGAACCAGGTTACATGCCTGTTCAGATACAGATACCAGAAGATCCATGCTGTACTAGGACTGAGTGCTGTAAGTAGTCTTAGTTCTTTATCATGGGGAATACACTATATTCATTTTGGGAAACTACAGCAATTTTTTTAATACTTTGCATGGATGTAATAATGCTTTTCTCCCTCATCACACTTTTTAGGGCCTACTTGCATAGCATATACTAAATGTCTGAAGATAACAAATTTAAAGATTAAAAGATTTTATATAGTTAGACACAGAAGTAACTGAAATCTTCTATAATTTAACACTGAAAAACTTTAATGCTGCCACCATCTGAAACAATATTCAAAAACCATTCACAATATTTTCTGTTTCAAAGACCAGTATTAGAAAGCTATCTTAACTTAAAAAAAATATAGTCTTGAACACTTAAAAATTGCTCAAGAAAGTTCCTGACCCACTGACAGTCATCATATTTTCCAAATATGATGATACAAATTTCTCTTTGGAATTATCTCTTTCCAGCAATCATCACCGTGTTCTTCTCATACAATGTTTTGTTTTACAAGTGTTATGGAAAAGCCCATTCACTCTGAAAACACCTGGGCATGCAGACTGAAGCAGTCACTAAACTGTCTTAGGCAAACAACATCATATTTGCCCCACTGGAAAACTTCTGAAGTTCATGTCAAACAAAATTGCTTTCATTTAAAAATTCCGAGTTCATTGTTTTGTGTATTCTCTTCCATGAAACAGACTGCAACACCAGCCTCTGCCCTGAGGTCACACCCCAGTGCTTAGAGGGACAAGAAGTAATCACAATAATGCAGCCTGGAAAATGCTGTCCTACCTTTGAATGCAGTAAGTATTGTGCACCTTCTTCATGTGTTATTTACTGCTATATTTTTCCAAGTTTATGAATAAAAAAACCTTATTATCTGTATTATCATATTGGGCCTCACTGTGAATGAGTGTTTTAAGGTTACCACCACAGGCCTGCAAAGCAGGAGCCTTTTTACACACTTCTGCCTCTTAAAACTTACACCTCTAAGACACCATCTTTCTTCCTTCTTTACAGGACATGGCTGTGTAGTCAATGAAACTTACTATGCGGTAAGTACACAGAGTAAATCACTATAAAAATACACCTTCACATAGCTCACCATGCAATGGTTTTGAGATCTCTATCATGGTCCATATTTTGCAGAAAGGCGTGAGATATAATTATATAATATTATTAATTATTTAATCAAGGTTAGCAAATCAACACCTTCTGTAAAAGCAAAAGCATTTTCTGCTCTACTTTCTGCATGAGCAGAATTTAATTCCAAAATCATTATTACCAAACCAGAAACTCTTCTTAAATAAAACAACTAAAATTGTATTTACGGATAGCTTAGCCTATACATCTTTGTATTGTCTGTGACTTACATACACAGAGCAACTTGCGTTTACTGACTAATAATGACTTTTTTCCTGACTCCCCCTAGCCTGGAACTGTCATTCCATCAGGCCCCTGCGAAGAATGCACCTGCTCTGAATCCTCTTACTTAAGGCCTCACCGTGTTACTGTCAAGTGCAAGCCTGTTACCTGTGACACATACTGCCCACTGGTGAGTGCTATTTTGCCGTCAGAAATTCCTTCCCCGCTCAGCTCTAATAACCACTAGTTAATGTCAGTGACCTGACTCAATGTCATTTCCTTTCTATTTCTTTCGAAACAGGGTTATAAGTATACAGAGGAACCGGGACAGTGCTGCGGCACATGCAAGGCAGAGGCTTGTGTGGTGACTGTGGGACACAACATTACACACGTGGTCTATGTAATTATCACTAGTTTAGTTCACTTTTGGGGAACTCTGCCAGTCTTTTCGTTCTTTCTGCTCCTTGTATTTGTCACATATATTTCCTGCATCTTTTCTCATGTTAGACACATGCTTATTCAGGCAGGGAGTGGACTGCCTCCACACAGTTTAAATAGTATCTTATACCATGAAACTTCAGTTCTAAGACTTCAAGAAGGACTGTGATACTGAACAATAGCTTTCAGAAATCAACATAGAAAAATACACAGGTGAAAGCAATGGGCTCTTATTTGCCCCTTCAGCTCTGAAAATGTAGCAGCCATTTTGCTGAAAGGAAAATTTTATTTGTGGAGGCAGCTTTCAGCTCCAAACAGCTTATCTTAAATTAGCTGAAAGCTTTATGACAGGATGAGTCAGTGAAGCCATGAGAAATTCTTCCATGTATCTGAATGGACATACCCAAAAATTCCTTCCAAATGAGTCCACATACTTACCCTATTCACACAAAAAGTTCATCTATATCCAGATAAAAACAGAACCTCTTCACTTGGTTAATGAAAAACACTTGTGGCAGTATGATAACATGGCAAATAACTATCAGCTGAAATTCAAGGAAATTTGTTCAGAATAATCAAACTGCTGTACACAGTGATGATAAGACACTGGGGTTTGGGTGTTGATTTTTTTTTTTTATTTTTATTTAAGAAGATTTTTATTCACTTTAATTTTGATTCCTTTCAGGAAGGAGAATACTGGAACCCACCCGGTGATAACTGCACAGTCTACACATGTGAAAAACATGCTGACCAGTTCATTCAAGTTGTCAGACAGACAAGCTGTCCTGCCTTTAACCCTGATGAATGTGATCTAGTAAGTACTGCTCTGCCAGTTCTCATATTTGAAAAGATTGCAGTGGCTAACACCAGTGACAAAAGGGTCATAGTGTCCAAGGAAAATATCTAGCAGAAGCATCATATAGAAAGTAGCTCTCTTTTTGTCCTCTCTGAATCTGGTCCCTATGAGATTTTATTTCAGAAAAGCAACTCAAAATCAAAATGGGTGATATATCAATCCTCACTGGGGACTGGGCAGTACAGAAAAGGGTACAGCATAATGTTTTGGATTCCTAAAAGTGTCAGGTGACATAGATGCAAAAATCATATTGATTTTTGAAAAATAATTGGGGGTTTATTCCTAAATTATTTAAGATTATAAATTATTTTAGGTGCTTTTTTTTAGAATTCACTAATTGAAAGGAAAGGTGAAGGAAAATAAGCGACTTCATTCAAATTAATACTCAGGGTAGATTAGAACTAGCCCCACACCTCTGGCAAGTCAGTTATTTCATTCATTGTGTTACCCTGTCTGACATAATCCTTCACCTGTGCTGGCTTTGGTCACTCAATATTTTGACCTACATTTGCTATAAGCTTTATATCTGAAATTTTACTACTGAACTCTGATGACAATAAAGCAGTTCTGGTCCTTCCCTGTTTCAGCTTTCAAAGAACTCTTATTAATATTTTAGTAGTTATGTGCCCTTAATATTTAGCCTTGCTTGAAATTAGATTCCATGTCAATAGAAAAAAAAAACCCTCTGGTGCCAGAGAAACTTAGGAAGCAGGGAAAGTCTGCTTCAGTATGCAGATATGAAACCTGAGTTACCTTTATATGTTTTCCCACTAAAGAATGACATCAAGTTATCTGACGATGGTTGCTGTATAGAGTGCCGAAGAAAACCGAAGCGTAAGTAATGATAATTTTGTTAAGAGTAAGTAATGATAAAATGTGCCTTATTAGGTATATTAGCCCATCTTATATAGACCAAGTTTGGGATTGCTGTTTCACACTGGGGTGAGAAGGGAAACAGGTGGAAAAAGAAAGGAACAGAACATCTCCAGCATGCATTTTAGGGCCTTGGGAAACAAAGACGGGGTGAACTTTCCCATCCCATACTGTTAAATGTTAGCTTTTTTTGTGAGAGGGCAAAGACTATGAATACTCTCCAATTTCCATAGATACATCTTCTTTAAGGAAGAAAGGGAAGCCAGTCTTGGGAGGTGGGTGTGCATTGAGCAGTTGCCATTGTACCACTCTTTATTTCTGCATCCTGCACTAAAGTTGCATAAGAAAAAGGGAAAAATTCACCCACTTGACAACACAAACAGCAAGAATCTTCATTTGGCCCTTAGCAATTATTAAAAAAAAGTGTACTGTGACTTAAGTTCCTATTTCAGCTCCATCCCTCTTAGTTTTTGATTACCAACTGTCTATCATACACAGCTATCTATTTATATGCACATATATCTTAACCTATTTCCTTCTGGTTTGTGATGGCTTTAGTTTGTATGAAGCACAATACTACAGCTGTCATCAAATATAACGGATGTGTATCTCCTGCACCTGTTGAGATGACATACTGTGAAGGCAGCTGTGACGCTTACTCACGGTGAGTGGTATAAAAGATAATTGTGGTCTCTTGTCTTCTACTCTTTACACCAGTTACACAAAGCAAACTGCAAGTGATTTTCTGATGTGTCCAACATCCACCTAGTCATCAACTGTTTGCATTGTGATAATTAACTAGAATTTTAAACAGACGTGACGTACTAAATTACCTCAAGATTCACAATGTTTATCAGCCTGTTCAGTGTCAGTTTAGATTTTGCCCATGTAAAAGTGAGGTTATTTGTTTCTTGCTTTCCTCTCACTGAACTGGCTCACTGTGTGATCTGGATTAACTCCTTTATTTTTTTCTGGGCCTTAATGAAGAGTTAGATCCATTGATTTTTATAATTAGGAACAACTTACCTATATTTCACTACAATACTGTAAGAATGGTAATATTGAGCAATAGTCCCATATGCAAGTAAACAACTTTTGATTATGTTTTGTAATGGGTGGAAGGGGCAGTGGTATTTCTCACATAAATTCTGAATCTCTCTCTTTGATTGGTTTTTCCATCAGATATTCTCAAAAGACAAACACAATGGAACACAAATGCTCATGCTGTCAGGAAATCAAGACCAGCCAAAGAAAGGTGACTCTGACATGCAGTGACGGAACCTACCTTGACCACTCATACACCTATGTGGAGAAATGCAGCTGTGTGACTGCTCAGTGCATTCCCCAAGACAGCACCCAACAGGAGACAAGCCAGACAAAGACCTCTCAGGAACAGGCAAATGCCAAAAATTAGAACTGGAGACAAGTCGCCAAATAAGGGCTGGACATAAGACTAAAATAAAAAAACTTTGAAAAAATATGGAAGTGTCAAGAGCAGCTAAAATTTTGGATGAACAGATGATATTTTCTGCATAAAATCCCAATATGTCTTGTCTACATAATTTCAGTTTTCGTTATCGATATATCTCCCATTTTTTCTTTCATGTCTTTTACCTCCTTGAGAAGCACAGCATAAGGTCATCTTGTCATTTGCTGTTCATTTGTCTTCTGAGAAGTGCTGTAACATAAGATTGAGAGATGGATTTTTAATAACATTCTCATTCCAGTTCATTGAGACAAATCAAAAGATAAATCCAGAAAACAAACAAAAACCAAGGAAAACTGTACCTCTCTGCGTCTATATGTTTCTTTTTGCATTGAGGAAAACTTAGACTGCAGAAAGCCATACTTTTTCAAAATTGTAAACTTCAATATTTTGGACAATGTATGATGGACATATTTCCCTATATATTTTTTGTGAGAAAAAGGAAAAAATCCTATTACGACAAGCTGCTGCACACTACTTTTTGTTTACATAACACCATCAGCATAGTAACTGTATGAAAATATGGATTTTTTTTGTTTTGTTTGTGGTTAACTGTTTACAGAAGAAGTATATATATATATATATATTTGCCAACAGGGGCATATGAAGGATTTTTTTAAAACAGAAGTTTATTATTAATAATAATAATAATAATTGTAAATTCTTTCTTAGGAAGCTTGTAAAAGTTGAACCATTGCTATTTATTATTTTTTTTGGAAAACTGATTTATTGGGTCATTTCTTTCAGAATTAATGTTATCCCATTTCTTAGTCTCAGCCATGTTGTCTGGGTATGGTATATTTTCTTCTTTTGTTTTTGAATATTGTTTTATTTTTGTTCCTTATGGGGGAAAAGCAATGATGATTAATAAATTTTGAGCATTTTACAGCACATCTGCTTTGACTTTTCACTGAATCCCTCGAGTTAGAGTTGCTGGCCCCATAAAGCATAGCTCCAAGTCAAAAGTCACTCTAGGCTGTGGTACCGAGCCCCTTATAGAGGGGGCAAATACTTAGTGTTCCAAGCACAAGGCTTCAGATGCTATGAATTAGTGAACTTTCAGTAAGCAAGCACATCTCTGAGTCTATACATATTTTGTGGCTCCAAACGTTCTTTACCTGACTGACAGAAACTATCCAAAGTATTTCAAACCAGTTAGTCTCATATTTTTGAGCCCACTGCAATACATACAAATCTCAAACCTGAAATTGTGCTATTGTAAATCTACGAGTTTGACAGGTTACTTTGCAGCTTTAGTTACACTATACTTCAAACCAGCCAGCACAGATCTGACTGCAGACTGTATACTACCAAGAAACATCTTTTACATAACTTATAAGTGTTCTAGGATTGCTAAGGGAAATAGTAAAAAACTAAAGGTGATAACCTTTCTCCTACCTTACAGTTTGGACAGCTCAGTAGAGGGAGTAACAGGGTAACAACATAGGCTTTCCGCTGGTGCCCTGCAGCAGCTTAGGCTGCTCTCACACCTGTTTTTCTTTCACAGAACAACCACCACCCATATATTTCCCCACTCAGAAATGAGCACTGAGTTTTCCGTGAGCATTACTAGTAACATCCTACTTCCCGCTGCCAAAAATCCCTACCTCCCTCCCAGCTTCCTGTTGACAAACTATTGCTTCGATGTCTCTTTTTTCCAGCCTTGGGCTTGTTTGCTTCCCAGTGAGGCTCCAGGTGGCGCCCTGCTCTGTTCCCTGCTTTCCAGCTAACCCACCAGGCTTCCCAATGCAGCGCTACTACTGAATTCGTGACCAGTTCAACAGGTGACAGATTCTCTGACCTTACCAGGCAAGCTAGGAAATTATTATTCTCCTACTCATTCTGCAGAAGGGAAAAGAGATTGTCTATAATATAAAATCATCATGCACTTTATTGGTCCACAACAGTTCCTTGTCCACAGTTAACCTACTGAAATAACAGATTTTGTGCATATTGCTTCAAGATCATTAGTTGTTTTTCCACACCTGTATCTCAGCATCCCAGAAGCTGTCCTCTTCCCTGGAAATGTCTATATGTAGTAAGTCTGTGCCACTAGCCACTTCATAAAACCCACTGAAAGAGCAAAAACCAATATAGTGAGAAAGAAGGGAATGGGAGACATGTGGCATGGGGGAAGACTGAGAGGTGATAATGACAGGGACAGCAGAGGCCAAAACCAGCCTAGAGTTTGGTGGCATGAGAAAAAAACCAAAAAAACCCCAAAACAAAACAACAAAAAACCCCCAAAACCAAACAAAAACAAAACAAAAAACCCCAAACCAAACCAACCAACCAACCAAAAAAACACACACACAAAAACAAACAAACAAACAAAAAACAGAGAAGCAAAAGAACAGGTAGGCTTTGGTCCTGGCATGGGGAAACAGGAAGCAAAGGACACATAAGCCAAGGTAAATCATGGAAGCATGAAGAACCTGTGGCTGAGGAAGTACTGGAGACCCTGCCTTGGAGAAGGAAGGATTTCTTTCACAGATGCAGTCCCAGTGCTAGGAGAGTGCAAATGGGAACCCTCAATTCAAGAGAAGGACAGGTGACAACATGCTTTGGGCATGAAAGACCAGATGAAAGATCTTGCAAAGACTCATTGAAACAAGACATGGAGTAAATGAAAGCAGAGTGCTGCAATGGATGTAGTAGAGCAGCCTTATAGGCTTCCTAAATTTTCCTTTATACAGGACCTATCTTTGCTCTGAGTTGTTTCTGATACAGACTGGGTAATAGCTCTGAAGTAAACCTTTCTAAAAACTGGATGAGATCAGTTATCTTTCTCAAAACTAAATTACTGGGGTTTTTTTAAAGCATAGATAAATAATAGAGTCAACAAGTGATTAGGTGGGAGAAAGTGCATGGCTTGGTAGCTCTTTATTGGCACAGGTCACCCTGAACTGTGCTGGTGTAGATGGTTAATGTATGTTACATGGACAGTAACACCAGAGGGCTCCAGGCTCACAGTTTACAGGCCTGGAAGAACAGATTTGCTGTCAAATGGGTTTCTTTCAAGGCACTTTGAAGTGAGCAACGTAACTATTCCTTACTTTCAGATCAAGAAGATAAATTATGCCCTTAACTAAGTCTTGAATCTACAAGCATCCATTCCACATAACAAAACTTGTTTATACATCACATAATTTTTTGTCTTTTCTTATCTGATCATCTTTGAAACACAAGTAAGTTGCAACACAGAAATCATTCACTTAGGAAAGAAGTTATGCCAGCTGAAGAAAAAACCAACATTCAAAGATTTTGGGTCTAATTTCGGTACTTGCAGTCAGTAACGCTTCCTTGGGCATTCATATATTTGCTCCCCCCCTCAGAACTCTTGTTATGTAGTCCAACTATTGCATGACCAGCTTATTTTTTCCCCTTTTTCAAACAACATATTAAAACTTTGCAGTGTAAATAACAAATTACTAATAATCACTTTCCAATTATGCTTTGTAATTATCAGCAATGTATAAACTATAACCTTAAATTATATGCCTATTCAGATTCCGACTAGCAATCCACTTCAAGTAATTCATTTGCCTCTAAAAGCAGGACAAAGTGTGCTTAAACCACATCATGTTCTGAAAACAGCTATGGAAAGACTTAGGATTGTTTGTGGCACGACTCAGGAGCTGGGCTGATAAAACACAACTCACAAATGGAAACCAAATTTTATAATAGTAAAACCCAACTCAAAGAAGGAAGCTTTCTTCCTCCTCAGTAGGTTTTGTTGTACTATTGCAAAAATGAGCAGCTCTATTGCTACCAGGCAGATTAAGACAGAGTTTTAGAATAGAAAAGACTAGTTCTATTCGAACATTATTAATGTAATAATAAAACAAAATTAAATGCACAGAAATTACATTTTTGCAAATGATGCAGTGATTGTAGCAAATTTTCCTTTTCACCTTACTGTTTCAAAAATTATCTTCCTTCTTGAGTCTTAGATTGCTTTTGGCATTCATTATAACTCTCATTTATAACTAAAATTTGGTTATGAGTAACCAACATATGTTTGCACTATTAAAATAATTGTCATTGCTAACAATTATTCACATAATTTTTTTGGCTACTGGGACAGCAACCAAGATTGTGCCTGAAAGGGCTGGGACTTTGTTTTCCGTTTCTTTTAATTGTTCCTTCCTTTCTTTCCCAACAGGAATTTGGGGTAGAGCATGCCCATTCCTCTATGCAAGCAGGCACTGCAAATGAAATCACAGGTTTCCATCCCAAAATGACTTAGTGGAGCACAAGTTAATCCACCTCAGCGAGGTAACCTGTTAACTCATGCCCAAGATTACATGTAAAGGGTTGGAAAGCGCTGTTGGCAAACTGCTTCCCAACACCACTCAACCCTGGTAGGGGTGCCCTGGCCCTGCTGCAGCCCAGGGTCAGCCCCTCTCAGCCCTTGCAGACAGAGCACGACAATGGTCTTCCATCCTATATCCTCTGTGGCAAAGCACACTCCATGCAGTAGTTATAGAGGTAGTATATACATAGAATTTCTGCACAGGTGAACAAAGCATACTAGTCCATTCTCCATAAAGTCCAGCTTCTAACATCTCTGGGATTTGGTATGGTTTTATCTTCTGAAGAGGTTAAAAGAGAAGAAAGAGAAAAATGTATCCAAACCTCTTTGTTTTTATCAGCAAGTTTTTTCTGGCTGACCCTGGTTGCCTGGTTGCATTTTACAGCCACCTCTGCCTTAGCAGATGCTCCCCCGGTCTCTGCTGGGAGCACATCTCTCCTCTGTTCTCAGGATCTTCAGGCAAACCTGAGAGTTCTGTTAGTTTGAACAATGGGCTGAATCAGGACAATATAGGGAAGGCTCAAAGCTGTACATATTCCTCTCCATAAACTGTGCCATATATGTGTTCTGGTGCTGCTGAGAACCTGATGTGTCATACCAATGAACTCAGGTATCCTCGCTGCAAAAGTCATGACTGCCAAGATTGCTTACAAGGAAACAACAGAATGTATGCAAGGACAGCCTGTTTTCCACGTTACTGAAAGAGCAATTCTATCCCTGCTTATATTTCTTGAGGCTATGTCTGTCTTGTTATTTATTCTTTGTTTCATTCTTAATGTCCATTGTATCATGTATCTTAATGTATATTTGCACTTATGATTATATTGCCTTTCTTCTGTTACATGATATAGCCTACTGACTTTCATTCTGACTACTGACATACAACTTCTTAAAGTTTCGAAATACCTATTTTAAACATATTACTTTTTAAAATTACAATGCGTGTTTATATTTTAAGTTAAACTCAAAAGCTTTCACTTTTATGAAGAAATTTTGTTATTAGTCTCCAGGAAATACAGGGAGCTGCTTTCAGAATCACATAGGAAGTTTCACAGCTGTGCAGTTGATTTATTCACCTATCAGCAGTTGCATAGAAGATCAATGGTCTATCTTGTTAACCTTAAACTTCTCTACAATGCAATAGCAAACAGAGTGTTTTGCTTGAGGTGACAGGTTATTTTGTTCCTTTGTTTTCCCCAAAGGCTATGTGTCATCTAGGATGTGACTCAGATACTTCAGCTGTGTTAGGCAATCTGCATTGATATG